GAAGAAACTACAGTTGAAGAGCGATGGCATAAGATAAGAATCACTCTAATGGAGGTAGTGGGGAAAGTGTTTGAATATAAACAGAAGAAAGAAAGGAACAAATGGTTTGATGAAGAATACACTCTGCCAGTTAGAGAAAGAAACGATATAAAAGCTAACTTTTGGAAGAGGGCAAAAAAAGGAACCAAGAAAAATTATAAAATGAAAAAGAAAAGAGAAATTAACATTTTTGAATTAACATTATATAAGTATTATTAAATTGAATTATAGGCATATTTTTGATGTAGTTGCCCCCCTATGTACAACCCAATTTGATTTTATACATTACAGAATTCCAGATAATTGTAGTATACATCTATAACTTTCATCTTTGTCTATCATGCTTGAAAATGACAAAAGATTGGGTGAGAGTACTGGCACGGAGTTATAATCAATAGTAAGATAAGTAAATCCTTACGTTGATAATGACAAGTTCCTAAACTTAGCACAGAGCTCATATGTGGTATTAGATCCAACTCTAAACAGAAAGAAGCCATGCTATCGATGACCTCAGTGCTAAGTTTAGAAACTAGTCTTAAATAATAATCAACATTTCTAGTAATATACATGACCTTATCAGGAAACAATACAATTATTTCAATAAAACAGCAGAAAAGCTACTCAACTTAAATACCATATAATAAGTAATCTCAAAATATATTGATATAATTACTAAAGTTGGTATAAAACTGATGCATTTAAAAAGTGTAAACCAGGCATTCCAATAATTCTCATTGAATTTCCAAATTCAAATGGTTATTTTCAAAGAAAAAGGGGCTTTAAATACATACAAACTATTATTTACAAATATTGAAGATGATTCAATAAGAGATAATTTTCTAAGTTGACAATACTTTTGAGTTAATTACAATATTTATTCTTTTTATCGGGAAGGAACAGTTTTTTTTTTTTTTTTTTTAAAAGATGAAACTAAAGTTTTTGGCATTTATATAATATTACAACAATAAACAGTTATGACAAATAAAAAGGTAAAATAGTATATACCATAAATCATAAATCAAGAAAAGTAAAACATGATAATCTAGCTTGACTCTAATTTTTTTCACTATTAACTTCTGTTAATAGAAAGATCAAATAGTAAATCCTGATATTATTAACTTAGAACTGAATCTTGAATGAGAATTTAATTTTCGTTTTTCACACCACTTCGTATAAATATATAAAATAATCATATAAATTTTTAAATAACAATCGTGAAATTACTTTTACCAATGGAATAAATAAATCAGTGATTACAAAAGCATAAAATTAAATAGTAATTTACCATATAGTTCCATTAAAGCAACACTTTCTTACAATTAATATTATAACTTTAAATATAATCATTAGAATTAAAAGATAAGAACATTATAATTCAATATAAAACTTTTAATTAGTTGCAGTGCAGTGATCTAAATGAAACCATATCTATGGTGGCCATAAACTGAAATTGGCTTCAAACTTCGGAATACTTATTGCTTTCACAATTTAACCAACTCATCTGAAAAATTGATTATCTAAACTCAACCATTAAAACAGAATTAACTATTAAGAATAAGTCACCTTTTAGATTATTTTTACGTTATGAAAGAATGCTAGATCTGAAAATTTGAAGAAAAAAATGTTGATTACCAACCTTAGAATAACAAATTTTGAACAGTTTTGTTTTATTTTAAAGGGACTAAGTTAAAAAAAGAGGGAAAATATATTTAAATTACTGTATTGGTTAAAAAATTTAGAAATATTCAATTTTCGTTTATGATTGATATAATTTTCAAAATTATGTAACTATTACTGATTCCATAACATTTATCTTTATGAAAAATTAACTTACTGGAAATGAATTCATTTACAATTAGCTATGATTAAGAAAAATATTTATAATTAAACATCATGGAAACTAAATTTTTTTTTTGCTTTTTTACATATCCAATCATTACGTATTAAAGATCCACTTCATAAAAGTATTGTGATACGGTGGAAAAGCGGATCCAGAAGTTCTTTTCTTTTTAGTGGAAGGGGGGGGGGAGTAATAACAATTTTTCTGTGGGAGGAATTGTTGTAAATCGATTATTCTACCTGATGAATAATAATTTATTAACGAATACTAGTATTAGTATTATCTTTTAAACAGATCTATATTTTTCTCAATGATTACTTTGAAAGGGCGTTTACGATCTATAGGGTAGGAGCTTTCGGGCTGGAGCCCCTCCCTCCAAAATGAAAACTTTTTTGTCATCAGTCCATATTTGTTACTGAGTGTTATCTGAGCTAAATGCTTATACAAAGTTGTATTTTTTAATTTATAAAGCATGTACAGCTACTAAATATAACCATGCCTTATGAAAAAAATGATCTCTAAAGTATTGTCGATCATGAATTTCATTATTTTTTCTAATTGGGCGTCAAGAATCGTTTAAAGATTATTCTATTTAAGTAGTTACTTTATTTTTCTTGTAAAGTAATTATTGTAATAAATATAAAAATATTCAGAGGTGCCGCACCCAAAATTGAATTCTGGCTCCGATAAAGGTTACGTTGTCAATTATTTAAAACAATCAATATTTCATTAATAAAGGAACATCCAGGAATTATTTATTCTGAAAATTTCATCCATAGGATTTTATATATAAGAAAATCTCTGTTCATACATTTTTAACTAGTGAATTTAAAGTTACTTTAAACAAAAACTTTTTTTGGCTTCAGCCCGAAAACTTTTTTTTCATAAAAATAACGATAATTACTTTGGAAAAAAAGAAATAAACTAACTGCCTACATGGAATGGTGTTTAAGTGATTCCTAAAGTCCTTTTAAATGTGATCACATGAACAATAATACTTTAAGAGATAATTTTTTTATTTTTGTTCCATAAAACATGGTTACATTTTACTATTTGGGGGGGGGAGGGCTTCAGTCCGAAAGCCTCCCCGTAGATCCGCCCGTGTATAGACCCTCCTGCTCTAGATGAGCCTGTTCAGCCATAATTCCTGGACATGGGGGATCTACGGGGAGGAGGCTTTCGGGCTGAAGCTCCCCCCTCCCCCCAATATGGTAAAATGTATCCATGTTTCATGGAAAAAAAATTTCAAAAATACCTCTCAAAGTATTATTGTTCGTGTAATTACATTTAAAAGGACTTAAGGAATCACTTAAACACCATTTCATATAGGTAGTTAGTTTCTTTCTGTTTTTCCAAAGTAATTATCATTATTTTTATGAAAAAGAAAGCTTTCAGGCTGAAGCTCCCCCCCCCCAAAAATTAAATCCTGGATCCGCTAGTGTTCCTGGATCTAGGCCGATTTGAAACTGTTCTTAGACAGTAGGAAGCACATGATCAAGAAAGCCCTAAAAATGGCTTTGAGCTAATAACAGCCAGCTGCTGCATTATGAAAAGTACTTTATATTATTTTGGAGAGTTAATTAGGCACAAAATGTAATCCATTTTAGCATGCATTATTTTATGTATGCCTCCTCAGTTACCCACACTGCATTTAAAACAATTTGCAAAGTTGTATTTAAGCCTTCACAATGATCTATCTTAACTTATTCATCTGGCACTATGTTCTAACCAGGGTAGGGCATGGTTCAGCTTTTTCAATATTTCACTCTAGTTCTGCTGTATGAGGCAACAACAGTCAGATCGTCGCATAAATCTTAGTAGAGAATCTCATCTACCAATATTTTCAGCAGCTTGTTGAAAACAAATTTTCACAGGGTTGGACCAAGGACAGAATCCTGGGAGGACCACTACTTTTACAGTGTCTTTTACTTCAAAAAAACTCTTCCATATTTTCCAAAAGTCTTGCAGAGATCTCCTCAATTGTTCATACTAGTTAGTGAGATTGTGGTGACCGATCATGTTAAAGCATTGCTCACTTATTCACTCTTGAGTCTAGCGCCACGGGTTCAAATCTGGCCAGGGCGAGACATAATTTATTTCATAGTGAATCAACAGAATGAATTCTGACTTTTCTACACTGTTTAGAATAGATTTAGTTATATCTTTGGAAGAACAGTGTATGCCAGAAATGACAAGAAAGCAGATAAAGGAAAAGAAAAGTTCATACTGCTGAGAGCGCAATCACTGTGCAATCTCTGTAGCAAGCATGGCCACCAAACACAATCAAAGGCAAAGATAATGTCAAATAAAAGGTACACAACATACTTATCCACCCTCTGATCATGTCTCGGCACCACTCAGCAGAGTATAAGGAGTTCCCTTGCATTTAGTTGATTTTTTGTGCAATGGAAGCCCAGTATTGAAAAGAAAAGGCATAGGTTAGTTATCAGCATGTTCTCCAACACTGCGCTCAAGATTGGAAGGAGAAACACAAACTTATTTATGTGGGTGATCTAAGGTGAATACTTAAACAATGGTAATATGTACTCTTTTTAAATTATAATGCAAATACAGAAACTAAATTTTTTTTTTTTTTTTGGGCTCCTGCAAGAACCTTTTAAACATAATTTTCTTTTTCTTCCAACTAATTGCCATTATTTACAAAAAAAGAATTGTGGATCTGCTACTGGTGGCTGACACAGGTATTAATTTTAAGGATGATTTGTTTGTTTTTTCTATTTGTACCTGAGAATAAAGTTAAGTACGATAGACACTAGTTTAAAAAAAAAAAAAATCTTGAAAGTATTTATTAATATCGTTGGTTTATTGCATAAAGTCACAAAGGGCATTTTTGATATAGGTTAACTTTTAAATATATTTTTGTGAATTTCGACCTTATTTTTACATACGAAAACACAAAGTGCATAAAAATGGCACAGATCCTTTTATTTACCATATATAGTTACACTGTTTTGTTATTTCACAAATATAAAATTCATCAATGTTTTTAATTCTTTGAAGTTATGAAATGTCACTTAATGATTTTTCACAATAAGCCAACGATATGATCATTCTTGTTAATTAATAATGTACGTTATCCAATGCTTCATGTCCTCGAATATCAAATAAGAGAGTATCTGCTGTTGCTCATTTCATTTTACTCTCAGAAAGTTTGGAGGATAATAAATAAAATATTTATAAAAAAGTGAGTGTTTATTTTTAACATTTAATTCGTACGACATTACATAACAAGAGAAAGAAAGTAAACCAACTAATTAACAATAATTTACATCTGGTTATACATTTTTACGTATTTAAATTTGAACATACAACAAATAATTTATTTGAAAAGACAATTAAAGCACCTTAATGTTTCTTTTAGATTTTAACTTCACAATCATGCCTAAACTATTTTAAAACATAAATTCTTATTATTTACATAATATGACTTTGTACCATACATAATGAATAGCAAAAATTAAATAACTAATAATCAATTGCACTTTTCAATTATAATATATATATTTTTTAAATTTCAATAAACATAATGGTTCATGTATTTTATGGAACATGGTTTAACTAGAAATATATTTTTATGCATAAAATAAGTAAAATCATTAAAAAAATAAAACTGTCTTTAACGATCATAGATACTTAAGAATAAGAAACAAGAGGTAGAAAGGCTGAAATAAAATGATGTTAAAAAGATATCTATCTACCTAGACTTAACAATGTCTACTTCAACGATTCCTTAATTCTAGCATTTAGGAATTATAAAATAAAATATAGTTACATGTGAGGTAGCTATATACATTTACGTTCTAGGTTCCTGTATATTTTCAAGATCATATCATTCCTAATTAATCTTTTTTTTTTACAGGTAAAAAAACCTGATGGTTGTGTGTGATCCTGACTACATTTACTGTAGATTGCTTATCAGTTCTTGATTTATCATGTACTGTACCAAAGAACCTTCATGGATTGTAATTATAAAGATTGTTTTGTTTATTAATTCTATTAATTTTTGTAAATTTATTCTTTGTAATAAACAACCACACGATTTAAAGTCAAGCTCATATAATAGTGAAAATAAATCGGATCAGTCATTTTTAAAATAATTTTGTACTGAGATTTTTGCTTCTACTATAAATTAATAAATATATCATATATATTTTTTAGCAATTTTGTAAATGTAACACATATATTTAATGACATCAATAAAATCCTAAAACCAAAACTAATTAAATTCGTCATAAATTGAGCAAAGTATTGTAAGCATGTAAACATAATTTGTACATAAATATAAGTGAACAAAAGTTCAAAGCAGTTTCTGATTCTACGTGTCTTCCCCATTGCATAGGGTAATATCTATAAATATAATAAGTACCTGGCAAAAATTTAAAACAGTTTGTTAAATAAAGTTATTAATTAAAAATAAAAATAAATCATGGTCTTACATTTAAGTTTTTTTTTTAATTTTTGGTGCATTAGAATCTTATAGATGAAGAATAATCAATTAAATCTATTGGCAAGTAAACAATACATTATAGATAAAAAAAAAAAAAAGAACATCCTATATTAACATATTACATTTAAGTCCCTTTTAATTCAGACTCTTTTTCAATGTTCAATTCATTTTTATATTTAAAAAAATATATTATACTAAAATTATATTAATAATGTGCACATATTACAACTTTCATTCTAAATCCATAAAATTACCATGCTCATATTAATATAGAATTTAGAATATAATTTCACCTATTCCCCATAAAATGAACCAAAAAAAATAAAGGTAAAATTATCTGATCAACATCAAATAGTGCGTTAAGTAAATGCATAAACTAAAACAGTAAAAACATAAGAATATATTACATAGACGATGTGACAAAACATAGCTAATTATTCTAATATCAGTATACCAATATTCTTAATAATAGCGTAAAACAAAAGGTACATCATAAAAGACTATTTTGTCATATTTATACATTAGAATTTGAACACATTTTTTTTTTTTAATAAATGGTTTGGAGTAACAATGTCAATAAATTACAGATTATTGAACAAAATATATGTAATCCCTCGTTAAAGAAGTGTTATTTCCATAATATCATCAATTTTGTTCTTAAAAACCTTAAGATGAGAATTTTTTTATTTTAATTTTTTTTTTATTGCCTTAATCATAATTTTATTACAATAGTTTCACTAGTATTAATATATTGCACAATTTTAAGTACCTATTCGTGTATACCAGAAATCTCTAAGTTTATAAAATATTTCGTTTACAAATTAGGATAAAATTTGGACGGCAGCTGATAGCTCATGATTGATCAAATTCATGGAGGATGGAATTCGCAGAGCCAACTCTTAGATACTCAAGGTTTGTAGTCTAATTCTAATATCACTTTAGCTGTGATACTTCATAAATCCTTAAAATCAAACCAAAACTATGATCCTTATACCACTAAAAAATATCAAGACATCGTTCTAGAGACATCTTGCGACAACTATCATTTGTAGTTTTATCTATATATTTTTTTGAAATTACAAGATGTCTCTAGAAAGAAGAATCAATTTGCATATTTTAAAATGATATAAAGAGTGTAGTTTTGATTTTTTTCATATTTATGAGGAATCACTTTTTAAGCGATATGTATTTCAAATTAATACAAACATTTAGTTCGAAGAAGTACTTCTTCTGTCAATGGTCCTAGAATTTCAATTATACATTTTGGCAATCTGCCCGAAAGTACTTTACAATATTCACAGATCTTTCTGAAGCCAAACCTTCAGATTCCCAAATAACTCAGTTTTTTAAACCAATTAATTACTTTTTAATTAGTCCAAAACTGCTGCTATAAGTTAATATCTTGCAATTTATCATTATATGAATTTAACAAATAATATTAATAATAACAAGGTATTAAACTCCACACCTAAATATTCTTTCAAATTTTCCATACATATTGTTGTCATGAAGTTCAGTATTTTGTTGAAAAAGTACGAAGATCTGAAGACTGTGCTGAAGTAACTACTTTGCCAACTGGCAAAGCCAACTATTTAACAATTCTATTCAGGTGTGATTTTTCCCACCCAAGAATGATAGCACATATTCTCTTGCAAAAAATTTTATTGATCTCCTATTCTTAAAAAATGGTTCAAGTGAAAGCAAAATAAACATTGTAAATAATTTACAAATACACTTGTAATATATTCCATGTTCTATCCCTTGTTCTCTAGTTTGAATTTCCCCTAAACAAAACCACAGAAAAAATTGCACCGTTCGAAAATTCATAAATCCCTAAAAATGTGTTCCTTCTCATAAATTTTGAGAGCACAATTGAAGTCATGCAATCCCCTAATTCAATTAAAGACCTTGAACATCCCGTACATACAAGAATTGCAAGTGATTGGAAACTCCAGTAGATTCAGAATTCAGGGTTGGTATCATAAAGATATCTTTTACTTCAAATGATCAGTGCTGACACGTTCATTACAAAATATCATTCTATTAATGATAAAGCAGTGTTTGTTTAAAAAAAAAAAAAAAAAAAATAGGAAAAAGTATAGTTCTTTGAAAAGTAGATAGTTGAAAATTTTTAAGAAATTCTATGTTGTACTTTTGACGTAGAAAATATTTCCAGCATTAGATATTTCCCTTCCAACTTTAATTTATAATAGTCTTCCAGATATTAAAGATAGAATTAATCAACATTCTTTTAATATTTCTTAGCTCAAGAACATTTACTTTAAAAATATATATACACAAAAATACAAATTATTTTAGATATCAGTATATTCTCCAGAGCAAATAATATGTACTGAAATATTAGGGCTATGCATTCATTTTTAAAAATGAAATTATGTTTATATCTTTTTTATTATAGTATACGAGCCCGTTTGTCTGATGTTTAGGCATTTTTTAGGAATAATGTTCCATTTAATTATCTGCCTCTAATATTAACTCCAAGCCACTTCAAAGAATAATTAAAAACAAAAAAGTATATAAAAATATTTAGAGTAAATCTAATATTATAATAAAATGTCTTTAGTGCTTTGTAGTGAATCATTAATATAAATAATAAAAAACAACTTAACTAGCCTCCTATACAATTATGAGAAAAGTACTACAAACATATTTTAGCCTAATGTACTTAACTAAGATGAGTAATGGATTCTATTCCTAATAAGCATCAATTAAGTACAAAAAAAACTTTTTCAATGGTTTGGTAGATCTATAAAATTTTTCCTTTACAACGGCTAAAATCATATGAAAATCCAAAACTAGTTACAGTATTGATGAGTGAATATTTTATATCATATTGTAACTTTATGTTATTATATGTTCTTATCATATGATTCAGAATTTTTGAGGCTTCCTCTATTTGCTATATAAATTAAAATGTTGAGAATCAGATCATTGTTTTAAAATTTAGAATAGGAGTAGAACCATCTCATTAAATTTGGCTAATTAACCTGAAAATATATTTGAATGCACAAAACACAGTTGCACCTTACATGACTGTGACACCTGTGTGTTAATAGCAAAAATCATATTTTCACAAAGAAAGAGAGAGAAATTAACTTTCTGGTGATACCCATAAAAATAGACAAAATTCTACTTAACACACTACGCACAGGTGCCAAAAATATAAATATAGTTTTTATTTTATATATATACATATATTATACATCTGTACCTCGAAGATTTAGAACACTACATCACAGGAGAGCAATTTGATCAGATGTTTCTCTCAAAATAAAAATTTAAACATGTATTCTCTTAAAAACATGTAATTTTTACTTTACCTCTGGGTAAAGTAAGCATACTTAAAAACAAATGTGTAATAATGCTAAATTGGTGAGAAAAAAATTATATACATAATATACTCCCAAGGTACAAACTAAAAACACTTAAAGTTAAATAAGAAAATAAAATTAACTATCAAAGAAATAAATATGTACAAAATTGTACATAATTAATAAAGATTTGCTTATAATATGCATACATGGTATGCTCATTTATGAAAATACAGCCATTTTTCGTTTTTTATGGCCAAACTAATTTAAAATGTGATTTTGGTGTAACAATCTTGTTTTAAATTTTCATAATTGTAAATGCCAAAAAGCACATAAGTATGCTACATTAAAAATGAAAAAAAAAATGTTATAATTTAAATAAGTTTCCTATTGAAAATTTTGGAGATTTATTCCATGTATTTTTGATCAATTATAACTTAATATTTTTAGTCCCAACATATCTAAAATTTATTTTATTTAAAACTAAAACTAATTTAATACTATAATAATAAACGAATATCACTAATAATCAGTCTGACTTCTCAATAAAAGTAAAATTGTGATCAGTAATACTAAAATAAGATCAAGCCAGCATTGCTGAATAAAAAGAAAAAAAATTAGATCATTGGAAGACAGAAAGTGAAATTTCAACAATCTCATTGTGTTGTTTTTCATCACTAAAACTTAAGATCTTAAACAATAAATAATGAAAATTATCTAATTATTCCATTTTTCAAACATTTTATTATTCTACAATTGTTATTAATATTTAGAATGTCATTTAAATAATTTATGTGCTGTTGCTTGTAAACCTGGTATTCATGAATGGCTCCCTTCAATCGTAAATGACTTTCTTTATTTATTGATGTGGAATTTCCACTGAAATAAAAAATATATTTTTATATAAATAAATATATTTATTTTTTACATATAACATATGTGGAATATAAATTATGGAAATTTCTCATTTCCATAATTTATAATGAAATTAAATTAAGAATCAAGCAAAGTTGTGGCTATTTGTTATTTTATTGAAACAAGATTTAATCATTATAATTAATATTCAAATGGAAAAAGAAAGATTTTATTAAAAAGAAAAATTAGATTTTGGAACTTTGTAATAAAAACTATTTTTAAATTTAATTCTCTCCTAGGGCCTAACAACCAATCGCTGCCAACAAAACTTCGATATTGTAGCATGTTCCATGCTTTATTTAGCCTCCTAAATTCCACAGTGGTCTCATCAATCGTTGGATCAAACATTTTATTTATTTTCAAAAACTTTGTGACAATACTCTTCATTCAAATTTAGTGGTCGCATTTAACGCCCATGAAGAACAGCTGTGGTGATATTAATTTAGTAGAAATAAATTTTATATTTTGGAAAATAAATGCCATCTAAGTAATTTTACTATCGATAAATGACAAGCTTTACTCCCCTTGATCCTTTACTTATTTCTCTTGAATTTCTTTCCTTTTGGTTATTGTCGATTCCAGTTACTTAAATTCTTCATATATTTAAATATGTTACAGCTATTTCCTCATCCTTTCTGTTATTATTATATTATTTTTTTTCTATATTTATTAGAGACCTAATTTTTTTTCAGCCCAGATGAATTTTAAAAAATAAAATACAGAAAACTTAATTCTATCAAAAACTATAAAATCTTCTTCTAATTATACCATATCATGAGTAAACTTAAAAAATTTAACTTTATTAATTCAAATGTGCCCAAACATTTTAATAGGTTTTTCTCATTCATCCGTTATATAATCCATTTATATTTCACCTGTATATTTCAAATTCATTAGATCCAAGTCCATATATCTCAGATAAAAATATCATTTCTACAATTCATTAACATCCATAGCTTCAGGGATGCCCACCCCCTTAAGGTCGATGGCGCGTGAACCATCCCCCTCTCCAGGAATTATGTTACTCTCCTCTTTTTTAAAAACAGTGCAAGCAAAAGTAGCATTAGAAAAATTGTATATCACTTCCAATTACACTTGCTGTGGTCTGTCCCATAGGGAAAACATGAGGGGAAAAACCTACTGCTCTGTTTTAAAAATATTCACTCCGAAAATTCATAACCTTATTGAATTGAGCTCCCCTAAAAAATTCAAAATCCCTTCAAAATATGTTCCTCTCAAAAATTTTAATGGCGCAACTGACAACATAAAACCCCATTCTGGGCCTCACTGCATAGCTTGAACTATTTTTAACTAAAACTATGCAAAACTCTTGATGATTTATCATGCCTTAAAAATTGTGTTAACTGAGAGTTCAATATACCTAGTTCTGCCATAAGTACTGTTACAAGAGTTAAACTTTGTTTACATCCTTGGGTATTATTTAGATAATCCTTACCCCTATGAGGTTATTTTCTTTACATGTCAGGATAATAATCCCTATTAGTTTGTATTTTTCTTTCGTTCAATTAATATAAAGTGGGGTGATAAAGAAAACCAAATAGCTGTGATCGCGTTACACAAAGTTGGAAAATGTAGGTAAGAAATTTTCAACACTTAGAAACCTTTGGGTATCAAAAAAAAATTAGAGTAAATAGATGCAAAGTAGATAGTTGCAAAGTGGATAGATGCTCCTTGGCCTTTACACCAATGGTCTTCATCGAAAGATTTTGTTTAGCATGAGAAAATGTTTACAATTGAAGAAAAATTTAATGAGCAAAATGATTGTGTGTAGGCACACTGCTTTAGAGAAGCACTGAAAGTAATTGGAAGATTGAAAAGAGATCATCACCCTTCCTCAGTGATGGTTTGGTAGGGAGTTGGCTTTGATGGCACTACAAAGCTCCATTTTTGTGAAAAATGAGTTAAAACAGCCGCTAAAAACTACCAGGACAATATTTTGGAACCTGTTGTCAAGCCTCTAAATTATACTATGTTTGCTAGAAATCATTGGGTTTTCCAGTAGGATTCCGCTCGAGCTCAAAAGGCCAGGTCAACTCAGCAGTGGCTGCAAAAGAACATTCCTGAGTTCATCCCATATTTCCTTGTAACAATATTTATGACAGGACTAGGTATTTGCTCAAAATATTTTTAATTTTTTTTTTTTATCTTTTAAATATAATCTTAAACCTAAATAAATGTATGAATCGAATAAAAATCAAATTTAATGTAATAGAACTTACTTTTGTAAATCATTCACTAAGGTCTGCAATCCATGAGGTAATATATAAACAGTGGCACGGTTGAAATTGAAACTGAAATCAATAACGGGTGTTTCATCTAACCTAAAAGAAGAGAATAAAATTACATTAAAATTATGTTGTGAAATAATGTATTTTATAAGTCTTGGTAACAGATCTTTGATTGAGAAACCTGTGCACTTAATTATAATCTATTTGAATTTTACACCTCCAAAAAAATTTAAAGAAAAATCTTAAAATAAAAAGTAATATCTTTTTATAAAATAAGTATTCTAATTTTTTTAAACTATAAATTAACCAAATCATATATATATATATATATATGATTTTAGAATTTTTTTCGACTTTCTTATGGTATAAGTTTAGAATAGAATAGAAAAATAACTTAGTTTTGGGATGAAGTCCCTTAAGAATAACGAAATTGTACAGAAAAAAAATTACTTCATTGGTTAATATTTGGTTGCATTAAACTTTTTTTTTATGTTAAACTAATGTTATTTTTTAAACTATTTAACTTTGGCTTTATTATATATACTCAAAACATTGTTGCATTAATGTTAAATAAAAAAAAATGTTCTAATCTTGAGAAACACTGATACTTTTTTTGTGTGTTACACTTTTAAAACAGATAATTATCTCATTTTTATATTTTACTGACTCAATTTAAGTGAAAACCAAATCTCTGATACTTATCAATAGATACAATTTTATTTACCTCACAACAAACACCCTCCTGTAGCTATCAAATCTTGTAGCGAAGTACTCATTCAAAGCCTTGATTGACTGTGCGAAAACTTTATCTAATGCTTTTGGATCTCTGTACGAGGCGAAGTTATTGTCCCCGATGTAAGATTCTTCAATAATCTTCGAGCACTCAGTAAGAATGACGATGACTTTGGTGTTCTTATTTTGAATTAATGGCAAAGACCAAGTCTCAATTGACTCTGCGACTTTGTCAAAAATTTCATCATCCCAAGCGTCGTGAACCTTAAAAATAATGAATTATTATTAAAAATATAAACTATTCAACCACAGTAACCACTACGCAAAGGATCTTTAATTTTCTATTACCAGCATTAAAAAAAAAAATCTTAGGTAAAAATTTACAAAATCTTTTTTAGTTTTTACTACTGCATAAATCTGTTTCAGAGGGCTTGTTTTCCAAGCACCAGTTTGCTTTTCCAAACTCAAAAGATTTCAGATTTTATATCTTATATCGTCCCACAGTATACAAATTTTAATTTTAAAAACTTATTAGTTTAATAATTATTACGATTTGTTGGTAAACATAGCTTTTTTCTCCTACATATGTTCTTAAAATAAATAAGATATATTCTTAAAAAAAATGTTTGTTGTAACAATTTTACTGAACACAGTATTTCACTATGGTTATTGATTAGGTTTTCATCACTAGTGAATCTAGGAAGGGGGACTTTCGGACTGAAGCCTCACCAAATAAAAAATATATTTTTTTTTCATTGGTCCATATTTGTTTCTGTGAGTTATCTGGACAAAATGTGTTCTCTTTTCAAACTATAAAGCATATACAGCTTCTAAATATAATCATATGTCAAGAAAAAATTTAAATCAATTATCTCTTAAAACATTGTTCCTATATTGCAATAACCAATTATTGCTTATTTATTATATATTTTTTTGGACAAGCCTTTAAAGAACCACTTAAAAATCATTTCATGTTTTTCACCCCTCCCCAAAAAAAAAAAAAATCCATTAGAGAAAACAAGGCAATAAAGGCTCCCTCTCTCCAAAAAGTGAAATCCTGAATCCGCTAATAACTGGAATACAGAAAACAAGGAATGAAGAATTTATTATGTTACATATATTCAGTGAGGAAACCAATAAATTTTAAGAATTTAAAGTTTTTTTTTGTGTTTTTGATTTAGCTCTTTATGCAGGATAGGTTATCTTACAGGTTATCATTCATTTATAGGCAAAGCGAAAAGGTCAAAATTTATTCCATAGATCCATACAAAATCGAAATATATAAAATATTTAAAACAAGTTATTTTCTTAATTAATACTATTATTAAAATATTACTTCAAAATCAAATTTAAATAATAATACACTACCAAATAAATAGTGAATAATAATAAACTGAATCATGAATTGCTTTTTAATATTTGTCATGTATCCTATCTTTATATTAAATTGAAAAACATAGCAACATTTATGTGAAAAAAAAGAACCAATCACTAAAAAAGGAACTGAAAGTATCTTTAGTTTAACTGATTAACAGTACCAAAGCATTTTACGTACGTGATACGTTTTGAAATATTTAAAGAAAACTTACAATAATTGAATTCCAACAATATTTACAGTTCTTGTAATGTAGTATAAGTACTTAGTTGTTTTCTATGCAGCCTTATGAAGACTAGTGTCCGACTGGTGGTCAAAATTCAACCATAATCATAATTGAATATATAAGGGAAACATATATTGTGATGAAAAGAAAAAAAAAGAAAAGAAATTACATATCTATGTATACACAACTGCATAATTTATAAAAAATAGGCTATCTAATAGAAAAATAATTTAATACAAAATGTAATAATATCTACAGTGATTCATATAATAATATGCAAACACTAAGATAAAATAAAATCTCAGGATTACTTGTGGTATAAAGGGGAAAAAAAAGGGAACTATGTATACCTACATACTCATATTGGTACACAGAGAGACAAAAAGTATAAAATATAAACATATATACCCGAAAGAAAAAGCACAATCTGAGGCGAAGAGAAAAACAAATAAATAGTAAAAATAATAGTCAAAGATAATTGCTGTTTTATGTTAAAACTTAAACAGTAGGCACCACCATTTACTTTTCACAAATTCAGTTCATAAAATAAAATTTATGGGTTTTTTTATTACACCGAAGCACAGCAATAGCTACCAAAAAAAAAAATTAAAATAAAAAATAAAATGAAATCTTTGAGAAACAAAGAAGAAAATAGTACTCAACTGTTTTGTTTTTGCCTATTTATATAATGATAAGGCAACATATGGAGGATGAATTTTGGATTGAAATTTCAGATCTTCGAATGAGTAAAATGTAACCGTCAGATATAACCCCACTTTAGAAGTAGATTTGATTAAATAATAATGCTGTGATCTATCTCTGCTTAAAAGTTTGGCCCTGCATTTTATTTGTAGTGACTGAAAGTGAAATTTAGAGTAAGCAATGTTCAGTATAAATAATTAGGCCATCCCATTTGTTTAAGTATGATCATGATTTTCCTCAGTCCATTTACAGAAAATAAGATCTCTTCTTTCTGACCTTTATACCCCATTCCATACAACATTGAAGTTTTATTTTGTTACTCACTCTTAACACTCTGGAATTCTGTCCATCCTAATATCCTAGACTAAAATCAGTATCGGCCTTAGGAAGGGGCAATAGCCCCGAGGCGCCGAACTAGAGGGACCCTGGCTGATCTTAAAAGGTGCTCGCCCCTTGTTAAAATTTAAAAAAATATATAAACGTATTATAACAATTAACTTTAGCCTATCTATAAAGTAGCTGTATTTGAGAAATATTGAATGAAATAAAATTCCTATATTACATAATATAAAACAACTTAAGAAATTAATTTAATTTTTTGGGGGGGAGAGAGAGAGGGCGAGTAGATGATGTCATAAGCGGAAGATCTAAAGCCGACACTGATGAAAATCCCAATTTCCTCTACACTGAATCACCCATACATATTTTCATATACAACAATTTTTTTTATTTCAATTTTATCGATATTCGATAAAGTTTTTAGTACAAAGATGATATTAAAAAGTTTTTAATAGTTAAGTCTCAATTTACTTTAAATGAATTAAGTCTTTTTGTTTTAAATTTGTTTTTTGTTCAATATTATTCTTAAATAACTTAAGGACAAGCACATTACATTAATTTGGAACTACCAATTTTATTTTTTCTATCTATCTTTTTCTCATTAAAAAAGCATTAATTGAAGTATAATAGCAGTTTCATATTTACATAATGTTAAAAACTTTATAAATTTACCAACTTACTTTACATGCACAAGATTCCTTCAATATCATTCTGAATAACGTCATAGCTGTCATGAATCTTTCGCAGTCCCGAGGATATAGAAGAAGAATTTCCTCTTCCTCGCTAATAAAAAGAGACTTTTCTGTTGAGATGTTTTCAATGGCAAAAGTGTGCTTCTTTTTTTTTTCTTTTTTAAAGTAGTAAAATGTTAATATAATTGCAGCAGTGACCAGAACAACAAATAGACAATAAAGAATAATCATGGGATATACATTATTAACTTTGTAAGGTTCAGTTTCAGTGGGTGTGATTTGTCCTTTAGCTTCTAAAAAAAAAAAGGAAAAAAAAATGATTACAATAGAGTATTTTTATTTTTTTATTATTACAACAAAACTTACTGTGCTGTCATTTTTTTTTTCATTTTAAATTGCTTAGAATTCCCTTTATTTTAATTGCATTAATAACCCTCAAATATACATCTGTACAGAGTCAGAATCTACCCTTAAGGCTAAGAAAAATTCTTTTTCAACTAACCCATAATCAATAACAAGTCGGATCAATAACATATACTTGCAAACCTAATAGTTTTTGCAAATGTTTGATTGGTAGAAGACAATATGACAAATACTTATCAATAGCATATGTTTTATGGCGATGCATTTCTAGTGTGGACACACCTTAATATATATATAAATACATAATCCATAAAATCAAATGTATATAATTATTACCTATATTAAATGACCAGGCACAATCGACTTTTGAGTTGGTCCAAAGCGATGTCTTGTCACAACGTGGGTCATAAAATTGAAGAATAACACAATAATTTCCATTTTTTATATCACGGAATGTGCAGTCTAATGTCATATCATTTTCCCATTTGCATGGGCAATATGTCTGAAAAATAAATTAAATTATATTAAATGGTATGATACAATTATTTAGTTTTCTTTTATATAACCAAGAAGAGGTAAAATGAAATAAAATTATAATATCAAGTTATTTTAGAATCTAAAGAAAAATTGAATAGAAGTTAGAGTGTTCAGTCAAACAAATAAGAAGTAAAAATAAATAAATTATGTTTATATTTATATTGCTGACGTTTCAGCCCAAGTTTTAGGCCTAAGAAAAGACAAGATTATATAGATATTAGAAACTAGTAGACGGTAAAAGTATAGTCTAATAACATGTATGTAGAATAAACTTAACAATAATAAATATGTGGAAAGGCAAACAGATGATATATAAATAAAGGAAATATAAAATAAAGAGTTAGGAATAGAAAATAGTGGAAGCAACGTTAGGATATATATGATAATGGTAACAAAGTTAAGAACTAATAAAATAACTAATAACGGGAACAGAGTTAGGAACTTGAGCAACAAACAATACTAAAATAATGGTAACAATATAATGAAATTAACAAAGAAATAAAAAATAAAATAACAAAGAAAAGTATTGAAATATTAAGAGAAAAAAATCATAAGTGTTAGACATAAAATAAAAAAAGTTATGTTAGTATGTTAAGAGGGAGAGGGATAAACAGAATAAAAATGAAAAACAGAGTAAAGGAATATGACGTCATATAAATAAAATAATAGATTTAAATAGAAAAATTAAGGTGTAGTAACATTTATCAAAACGTACTGTACACATAGAAGAGAATTGGAAATTTAAAATTATGTAAATTAATAAAATAAGATGTGATGAGTAAAATACTGATATTCCATTAATATTATCAAAAAAATAAAATATCACAATTTACTATAGCAAATTAAATAAACAAGAAGAATAGCTCTGAGATTCCTTGGGTACCTTGGATAATATAGAAAGACACTTATTGATTTCTTAATGAAAATTATAACATTTTTATTTTTGTTTAGGTGTTATAACTATAAAAACATTTCTTTCCCAATAAGTCAACTTTATGAATGCTGACACCCAGAAAACAACATTTGAAAATGATTATTTGTTATCAAAAATAAAAAAATACCATATTATGTTGTTCATCGTTTCTTGGATGTTCAAGACCATGGCAGCAATCTCCATTCTGCACCTAAATAAAGAGAAAATATAAATTAATTACATGCAAAAAAGGAAAATATTATCCATTTATTATAATGACGATATTATATTCTGTCACACCCACTATAAACTATGAGGATTCTCAGGTTCTGTAGTTGGTAAGGAAATACTGTTCATACAAAGTAATGCGTTTATTTTGCGTGCTCGATGTCTAGGGTTATTTCCCAGTTTCCAGGAGATATGAGTTTAGAATCTTACCCATTATGACTAGAAGTGAGATGAAATTTTTATAAAATTCTATATAATTATATTCCAATGTAATGCTTTTAGAGACAATAAACCAATTTTTTTTTAGAATTTTTGGGGGTGTGCTGCGTAGACGTGATGGTGAAAACTATTTAGACATACAGAAACTTGGTTTGTGGATATTATAAGTTCGTCCAAGATCTATCTTTTAAATATGTAATCAAAGAGGATCTCAAATAAATCAATACAATATGAAAATATCAAGACCGAGAACAATATATAATTTTAAATTGGAACTTTTGAAAATTGTATTTATTTGTTTAAATTAAAATGTGAGAAAATAAAAATTTATCCATAAAAATAAAATTAACTATTATCCATGGAGATTACACAAATACTAAATGAATCCAGCCTCTTTTTTTCTGTTAATTTTTGTTTGTAATATTTCTTCATCAAAAAATTATTTTATTTTTTTACTATAAATTTTTCTTTTGTGGTATAAATTGATGTTTTGTTGAATAAATAATAGTATGTGTCATTATTATTTTTTTATTAACAAAACTAAGAAACTAACTGATCAATAATTTTAATTGTTATAAACATAAAAAACTTGGAAAATTATAAGTGTCACTCTAGCATGATTTATTATATGGATAAATAAATAAAAAATGAGGCTATAGAGTAGTTCAGGGAATAAGGCAGCCTGGTCTTACGCCCTGGGTCTAAGTCAGTTTTGAGGTGTTGGATAATTACTTATATTATAACAACTTTTATTGTTGTAACAGTTTTCAATCTATGCTATTATCAGCAGACATTTTTAGAACTCACACAGTCAATTAAGGGGAAACCTGGTGGTTGAGGATGATCCTGGCCATATCAACTCCTTGCGCAAGGATTGCTCCAGATAAAGTACATCTTTACTAAGTAACGAACCCAAGAACCATCATAGGTTGCAGTGGTACAGGTTTTTTTATCTTAAATTAATAATCTTATTCAGAAAAATATGAAAATTTCATCTACCAATCTGTATATTGGTATCTGTATTTTTTAAAATACTAGTCAATTTATTTATTTTAGAATTTAGTAACAGAAGTATTCAAATCTATTCATCTCAAAATAAATAATTAGTATCAACAAAGACATAATAACAAGAGTGCCCTGGTTCTGAGTTTTACTTAAAAATGAGTGTTATTTTCAAATGAAAAAATCTTTTCTTCGTCTTTCTGAAATGTAAAGCTTTTATTAATATTTTAGTAGAATAAATTACTTCAAGGCCAAAAACTAGCAAAGGATGAAACATTTGCTAATAGTATCAGTACAACAATGTGATGAGTCATAAAAAATATTTTTTTATCTTATTAAAATATATTTTTTTTGTAATATAAAATTTGCATATAAAGTTGTGTTATATAGATTGTATCCATCGAATCCTAGTTTGCAAAATCATTAATTCTTTATATGCCCGAGGTTGATGGTAGATTCACTTCCTTCCAAAAATATTTTATATTGTTTTCTTTTACTTAAAAAATGATATTAGTGGAAGCAGCATCTTAAAAATTGTATTTCAAATACAATTATACTTGCTGAGGTATGTTTCTTGTCTTTTTCCTTGTTCCTTGGTATGAAAATTTCAACATATTGAAACCCCACAAAAATATGTGTTCCTCTCAAAAATGTATAGCTTCTTTCACACTCCCTCCAAAATTTGTATAAGGTAACTTATGCCATTCTACTCCTTTCTGAGAACTCCTGTAGCTGATTAGTATACAATTCTGATAGTGGTTTAACATTTTGGAATTAATCCATGATGAATTATGCTATAATTTCAAAATTATGATAGTACAAAACATTAATTCTAGTTGACTCCAAGGCAGCAATTCTGACAGTTTCTAGTTTCTTGACAGAGACAGTTTCTAGTTTCTTGACAGAAAGACAGTTTCTTGATTGATGCACTGCGCTGTCAGGGGATCATAGAAGAACTGCTGTTGATGCGGATAGAGAGTTTATAATCCAATGGATCTCAGGACACTGTAGACTGGATAGTAACGGCATGACGAAGGCTTTAGCGAAGGAGAGAGCAACTGAATTCCAGGTGGATAATAATATAATATACCACTAAGCAAGGAATGAAATAAAGCATGGATGCGGCACACTGAAAATTTGTCTTGGTTTGTCAAATATGTGAACAACAAATTTTTCAAAATAAGACATTTTTTGGGTTGCTAGAGGACTCATGGAAGAAGCCGACAGTCAAAAGGCATTGGATAAACTACTACTATTCATTCAGTCTGACAAGCCATCACTGAGACTTGGCCTCCTCAAGCAACTACCGCCAGTTTAGTCGGTGAAATGCAAACATCCTCCAACTATAGCATTCCAACAAATCTTATGAATAGGACATAAAACCGTCTTATTCCAAGCCATCAGAATCCTTTCCTAAGTCTAGATCACAACAAAAAGACAATTTAATGCTTGGAGTAGCTGATCTTCCACTTTCTCCAACAATTCAGCAGAGAATTTGCCAAAGGCTGGCTATCTTGTTGTTTTGTTAATTTGCTAATATCTTCACACAATTCCTCTTTGTCTAGAGACTCGAGTTACTGTGCCTGATTTATGTTAAACAGGTTGTTGAATTGCTATTCCATCTCTTTTTGTAATTTATATCTTCTCGTTCAGTAACTTTCCATTCAAATCCTTACAGGCTGAGATATTAGGCTTAAACGAATTTCAGCCACTGTTCATCTTTTGGTAAAATTTATGGCATTCATTGTTACTCCATAATCTTTCTATCTTTTTCAACCTTTATTTTTCCAGTCTCTTTTTTTGCATCGATAGGATAATATATATTAAAAAAATGTATAAAATTGTGGGTATAGGATAAAAAATAAAATGAAAATAAAAAAGTCCAAAATTTGTCTTTGCTTAGCGACTGGTACAACATTGCTGATTGCAGTCAACATCTAATATTCCTACTAACATTTAACATGGTGTTTTGGTTTCTCAAATAAATCCACTTTTCATCTGAGGGAAAGATGGGCTTTCCAAAATTTTTCAAGTCTTCAAAACAAATTCAATTTTACATCATGCCTCATGCATTAAATCACGGGGACTTCAGATGAACAATTTTAACCAACAAAACTGAAGGCAAGACAAGGTTATTTTGTTTACGATTCATTTCATATATCTTAAGGATTAAAGTTATATCCAACTTAATTGGATTTGAAATAAAAACATAAAGCTAATCATTGGATAAAAATTCAAATAAACAGTTATTTTTATGACTCATTAGATTAAATAAATAAATTGTGTGAACAAAAAAATAGCTATTGGTTCTTAAGCAATTATTTAATTAATTGTTTCTTATGTTTGGAATTTTTAAATTCTCTGAAATAATTTTTATAAATTAGCAATAAAAACATTAAAATAGGAATAACTTAAAATACAAATAAAATATTAGTTGTATTATAAACAATCAAATTTCAAATGAAAGAATTTTCAATGCACTTTCAAATATCAATCGTCAAAGACACCAAATTTTCAAAATCACAATCGATTCATGCAAATATAAAATAAATCAGTCAAAATTATAGCATTAATAAAGAAGCAAAAGACAACAAATTTAAGCACTTTCAAAGCAAAGAATAAATCATAATATAATTAAATTTTAATAATTTATTAAAATATAATTAGCATGTAAATAATAATTATAATTGTGGTTATTAAATTGTCATGCTATAAGTCATTCTTAAATGACCATACATTAAGTAATTAATAAATATCTTCAAATGAGTATAAGTTCAAGAAGAAAAAGTTTAGTTTTTTAAAATTATTAATAGAATTTTGAAATAATTAGATAATAGATTGAAAAATATTAAATACACCAGCTTATTAATTATTTAATTAATGGCCATCACCACTTTTCGCTCGGAATCGGCCAACAATCGGATAACAACCAATAATGAAGTATATTGGTTAACCATAAATAATTCTGACAGAAACATATATTCATCTCCATTTGGAGCAATTTTCATTGTATTATTGATGCCTAACATCAGTTACAGTAGCTGTAAAAGGTAAAAAATAGCAAAAGATAACTAATGAAAAAGACTATCAGCAGGCTCGTCTGCATAGGTTTGGTGTGACACCTATTGACATCTGCAAACTTTGCAGCAATTGAAGAATGGATACTGGAATTCTGATAAGTAGCTATCGTAAACCATAGTTAAGATAAGAATATGGATAAGAACCTGATTTTTATCTTTTTCCTTTAGTCTGGACCATGTTATTGTCATAAGATACATTTATAAAATAAAATTTTCTAAAGTGATATTTCTTTTTATTGTGGCAATAAAGATGTCTAAATACAAGATTCTCCAAAGCGTTTTTGTTTACCTCTTTTCTAATCCCAAAGTTTGATTTTTAAATAATCAGAATCAAAATGGAAGCTTATAAATTTCTTTTCTCTTAAAAAAAAAAACGAAGCTATATAGGTGGCTAGAAATTTATTTAATGGCTTTGGAGGCATATTATAAGAAAGTGAGAGTACTACTGATTTATAGAGCACTTAGAGCAAAAAAAAAAAAAAAATCCTATACCACTAAAACTCACAAAGGTCTTGGTTTCAATATTTCATTGGTTCATACAGGAGTACTGTTTCTTAGTTAACAGGAAAGGAGTGGAGGGAACGCACTAGGCTCAAACAAACCAAGTAGTTAATTAAAAACCCTTCCTCATCTAGACCTAAATGGCTGCTAGGCCAAGCTAAAAAGGAAATCCAACTCATCATTGGGATATTAAAAGGCTACTGCTGACTTCTAAAAATTTGTGGAATAGTTGACGATTAATTCTGCCATTAGTGCATAAATGCAATGGAAACTGTCCTTCACTGTATAAGAAAATGTGGCCGATTTGCGCCATTGGCAGGCTTCTGGTTTTGGACAAAAGGCTAGAACAGGAAGCTTTTCCCATAAAATGGTCATGTCTTTTGAACTTCATCAGAAGAACGAAAAGGTTTGAGACAGAGATGGTGTAATAGACTACCATTGGTATTATTGTCTCTGAGGCTGGCAAAAAGGCTCACTTACCATACTTAGTTCCCCCACCAGTACCAGTACCAGTAGCTAACAGGTATGCAAGTAGATGATATGGTCAGTATTATACTCAACTCATAGGTTTCTTTTCCCGAACCCACTAAACTACCAATCATCCCCTTTGTGTGCCCCAGAAGGGTATCCCGACACCTCAGCTCATCTACAGCTGATACAGCAGTTAATTAAAGATTCCTACAGCAAGACTGGAAGATGGGCACAAAATTAGAATTTCAGTGGCTTACAGAATTATGGCAATCCACCTTCCACCTATCTAAATTTTGCAATCAAATTTTCAATAAACTCAACATCGAAATATGACTGACTACAAATATTTGAGCGGTTCATTTCCAAAACCAGATAAATCCAAAATATTTAAAATATAAATTATTAAAATTTTGTAAAGCTTTTAGACTACATTTTTATGTGGAGAAAGAATTTATTCGAAACCAAATATATCCTTGAAAAAAAAGTTCTCTAAATTGAATTTCTGTTATCTTTATTTGAATAACAAATTAATCATCAACAAGGATGCAACTAATTACTCTGATATTAGTGCCTACGATTTCCTCATAATTTTTTCAACAGTAAACTAAACTTATAGCAATATCAAAATTTTCTGTGAAAGCTCTATAGTCCAAAATAAGACTATGTATCCATAAGCTTATTTTAAGAATAGAAAAGAACTTACTCTTAACAAATAAAAAAAGAAAAAGAAAAGTATTATCCTCTAAATAAAATTAATAACAAGTTTTTAGGAATTGAGATTTAGCACCATATATTCAAAATGAATAGATACTAAAAGAAAATGACAAAATTGTCATGGGTCTATTTTTAATTTCAAAACGAATAAATTTACCAGCCGAGCAGCCCTGTAAAATTAACGAAAATTGACTTAGCTGGTTTTGAAACTGAATACCTAGTTTGATTTTATTTATAACTGCGTAAAAAACAAGAGAATGTTATTACATATTCATCAATTTCAAAAGGAGGAAAATGAATAATTTAATCAAATTTTACCAATTTTAATAATTTTTTTGAGTGGATCTCATACAGTTTGATGAAAAACTATCAAATTTACAAACAAGAAACTTTTTTGTAAAGTTTTTTCAAGAATCAAAAAATAAAATGGACCAATCAAAGTTGCTTTAGAATATAAAATTAAAACAACGAAGAAAATTAAAGTTAAAAATAATAAACTAAACTGCAACCTGAAAAAAAGTCTTACCAAAAAATATTTTTCAGCTCTATTACCACTTCCAGCGCAATCGTCTAATGATAAATCAACATCTTTTTTTAATGTTACTGCTGTCGAGAATGGTTTAAATCCATGAGAAAAATTTCCAAAAACAGATGTAAAAACTAATTCCTGTCTAAAAACAAATTCAATCTGTCTTAAATATGATCAGTAAAAATATTAAATATAACACAGAAAACAAAAGAAATAATTCATATTATAGTTTCATTCCATTGAATTCATCATCATTAGAATAGTATTAAAAAGCATAGAGGGCATGCGATTCAGGCATCAAGCAAAACATTCCTTCAGTTTTCCAAGCCATATAAGAAAAATATCTGTGGAAGTTGCAATAAAATTATATTTGCTTAAATTTTGTTAAGTTATCAACCAATCAGAGCTACAGGACAAAACGAGAAATTAATAGGCAACTAATAGCAAATATGGAAACAGTGTATCCATGCTTACAGAAGTCAGGTGGGCTTCCTTCACCAGAACATAAGAGTCTTCGAAGTTACAGTCAATATTAAACAGCCTTATAAGAATACTTTTTGGCTCATTTAGCCCCTCACCAATATATCTAAATTTTAGATATTCACTGCAAAAAATTTTAGGTTTTATTAAATGTACCTAAAGTTAAAAAAATAAATAAATAAAAAATAAAAATCACATACAATTCCCATTAAATAACCTGATTGTACAATAAGTAAACCACATACATATTAAAACATTCATCTAAAATTAAATTTACACACAGCAGAGCGTCGGTCACCTGACAATTGTAGATTACATGAAAAATCAATACTATAAAAAATATATCTTTATCTATTTGATTTACATACTTGATTTCTGATCATATTTAATATTTTTCATATATTAAACTCTCAATATTTCATGAAAAAATATCAAAACAATTAAAAATAACTTATGTTAGCCCTTGACCGGAACAAGGTATTTTTCCAAAAAGGACAAGCTTAATTATTCACCTCCCACTCCCACTCCTTCCAATAAAATTCAACATTTTATATCAATATTTTAGGTTATGCACTCAGAATAAATATCAACATCGCATAACATTAACTCCTACCATTGATTGAACTAAGATAAAAATAAACAAAAGGAAGAAAGGAATATTTTTGATGTGAAAACTTCTTTAAGCACGTTTGGTACTTTTTTGTGGAGAGTGAATTTGATTAATGCCTCATATATTAGGATTTCAGAAGTCTTAAAATTTGGCTAAAGTCGGCTAATCGAATTGTTTTTACATATAGATTAAAATATCTCAGAAACTAAACATTGTCCCTGCATACTATAAGCGAGGAAATTGTTCAGCATTTCATCCTCTCTGTTATAGGCTATAATTCAAAATTTTATCTTAACATGACACTATGTTAGGAAGGTGAAAAGGAAAAAATAATGTCGAAATCCAAATGATAACGAGTTTAGTTGAACATATGGATTAACATATTTAAGATAATAAAAATTGGACCTGTATGCTATAATTATAATTATAACCTGTATAATGTAGTTATAATTTTCATGTGGTCTAAAGCACACAATTTAGTTTTTACTTAAGCCAAAAAAAAAAATCTTGGAATTTGTCGCCTAAATAAATTCTGCTACTGGTTTCAAGATCACTTTGAACACACTGTACTAACATGTGATATAAATATACATACACACACATATACGAATGACAGAGTGTTCAAACTACAATATTTTTTCCTAAAATGCACAGAAAGAAATTTACTGAGGAAAAATTGAAAAAAAAAAATTGTTAGAGTTGTTTTTAGTGTAGCAGAAAATTCACTCAATTGTAAATAATACATAAAATTATTACATTCATTATTTATTACATGATATAGGGTATGTAGAAATATGTTTAAAATATAAATTTAATTATGATTGCAGCAGTGTTTCAATTTAATAACTAATACATAATTCCTAATATCGTAATTACAGATTGTACCTGAAGGGTCAATATTATTGAAGGAACCCCTCACATATATCAATAAAATCAAGTTAATATTTTAGTTTCAATCTTCCTTTCTCCAGAAGTAGATTATCAAGTGAAAATATCTTCCTATTTCATTTTTATAATTAATTGCATTTAATTATGCAAATCTATAAATATTGAGTTTAATAAAACTACCAATTAATTATTTAGCAATTGTCTATTTTCAATTACATAGTTATCTGTCACTCTGCAAAATTTATTTATTTCATAAACTCACCTTTGCTATATTCAAAGCATTCCTTTGATAACTTAAAACTAAAATAATTAGAAACGGAATTTGCAATAAACTTTAATAAAAAATATTTAGTTCATTGTACACCCCAGTGTTATAACAACAATTTTTGAAAAACAAATAATGGAAGTGAATTATCGACGCTCTCCTGCATTTTTCTATTTACAAGAAACATAGAGTTTAATTAATACATTATATTAAGAAATATAATTTTATATACATCCAAAATAGCCAACAAATAAATATGTGATTTGTACAAAAAGCTTTCACCAAAGAAAATAAAAACATAAAATAAAAAAAAAATAACCTCTTGTTCTATAATATCTACACAACCCAAACAATAATTTACTTTAAAATGTATTACAAATAGCTTTGTTTTTTTTCTTCTATGAAACATTTTAATTTAACATGCATTAATTTTATGATAAACAATAAACATGAATTTTTCAAATATTTTATTTTTGTTCGATCGAAAAATGTCAGTTTTCATCAGAAATTTATCAATAAGCATGGATTATGACTTAAATTTGATGAATAGCACATCCTAGCGATAATCTATTTTATTGTGAGCTGTTGGATTTCCTGCCAGTGTTTTTTTCAGAAAAACATTCTTTGACAGGAGCATCAGCAGCCTTTAATTATAAAAAAATAATAAAAATAATAGAGTTGATAGTATGATAGTGGCTAAAAAGTAGGTGAAAATTTTAGTCATTCAGTTCTTGAATTTACTGTTGCATCGTATTTTTTAAAAAAAATTAGCCATGCATCATTGTCATATTAAAGGAGTATTTGTCACCATAAACTCTAACTTTAACAGTTTTAAGGTTAGATTAAACTATCCATCATATACAAAATTAAAGAAATCCCTTAAATTCCAAAAGATTTGTCATGCTTGTTTCCTCTAATTGGACACATTTTTTATTTATGGCTCGTTCTCATAGAGCTGTTAACTTTCCAGGTTGGACCACTCACAAATTAAATAAATAGAATGAAAAGGCAAAAGTCAAGGAATTTAAACTGATTGAGAGGAAATAGCGAAGGAACGAAACGTTCTGAGTTATTGATGAAACTTTGGATAAATAAATACAATATTAAAAGTAAAAACATTTATTAAAAAAAAGTATCTATCTCTGTGGTGCTACAACCCTGATGGTGTCTTAACCTCCTCAATAAGCCTCCAACATTCGGTTTTGTTCTGTGCTCCATTTCCACTCCGTCAGCCATCTTAACCTTGGTCTTCCAGCTCTTTAGGTCCTATGAAGAACCTCTTCAGATACCTTCCTCGGAATTTCTTCTTCACCCATCTCAGCCACTAGCCCAACTTAGTCTTTCAAGTTTAATGAATTTGATAACATCAGCCTCCTAGTTGATTCGGTACAACTTTCGGTTCTTCCTAATCCTCCATCCTTCAGCAGTTCTCAAAGTACTAATAATACGCCACAAAATTTTTTTTTCAAAAATAATTACGTCCTTTTCGTCACTTTTGGAAATGGTTAATGTCCACTAACATATCATTTGAAGCTGTTATATAGGATCCAAGATAAGTGAACTCTGTTATCCTTTCAAAGGTGTAAGAGCCAATAACCAAATCTAGATCTCTACCACCCAGACCATGGTTGAAGCTGCTCTCATAAGGTTAAGAAATGCTTCTAGCTCTGGCCGAGAACTTGCAGCTATATCTAGATCATCAGCGTAACCAAGTATCTATTAAAACAATTATCAATTATAATTCATAGATGAGGTTTTTTAACTTTTTTTTTGTCATTTTCATTACATTCTCGACAGAATAATACAATAAAAAAGAAACCAGTGTTTAACATGAAGAAAGAGGTTTAAAAAATATTAGTTACTTACCATTATATTGATGACGAGAGAATGATATTTAATAAAACCACATTCTTCCATACCATTCTCCTCTTTGGGAATCGACAAGTGAATAAATTATCTAATGGCTTTTTCATAATCTTCCTTCTTCAAAACTAATGACTGAGGAAGCAGAGGAAATCAAGCCAAGAAAAATAAAGAAGTACAAGTTGAGGAAATTATGGAAAAGCTTGGACATACTTTTTTGGATTGTGTTGTAAACATTATTGATTCTAAAATTATAATTGATCTCATTTCAAATATTTCGATATTTATATTCCAGAAATATCAGTGTTTAAAGTTTAAATCATATAATAATACCTCATTGAGAAGGTCAATTAGGGAAGTTAGAGTTTGGACACAGTGAGATGACAAATTTACAGTCGAAATTTTTTCTCCTAACACAATACGTTTGTGTTATAATATTGATAATTTTGTTATACTTACCAAAATTAAACCTAGTCAACAGAAGTTCAGTGATTTAATTATGTCTTGAGTTCACTTTGACATTCAAAGAGTTATAACATTTTTAAAAAATTCTAAATTAATTTTCATCTATTAATTGAAAAACAAAAAAATCAATGAGTTAAGGCTCCTTTGATAACTGTAAGTTGACATTCATAAGATTTATTAATCAATCAAGTTCATCACAGTGAAAGTCAAAACTGAATTGGATCAAATATTTTGTATCATACAGTCACTTCTAATGGATGAGTTCTCTCTCAATTCTTCATTTTTGGATAATTTCTTCAACAATTGTTGTCACTAGTCAAATGTGTTATTTATCTAGTGTTAGTGAGGCATTAATAAAAACTATGAATTTGGAAGTAATTTAGAATAAAAACAAACTGTCACTGTTACACACACAGCTTTAGATAGTTAATCACACTTTGATTTGAAATACACATCAACATCAATGGTTATTCTAATTTAATATTACAAAAAATATCTCAATAAAACGTGCAGTTTATCTTATTTTCATTTTTTTTTTAAACTTAATAAATTCCATCCCTTCCATTAGTTA